CCTGGCATACTGGGCTGTGCACAGACAGATGAGGTACCTTCTGGGGTGCAGGGATGGGAATAAGAGTTCCAGCTACTCCTGGCAGAGGCACAGGTCTAGGTTTTAAAGCCCTCTGAGAAGAATCATGTATGAGGTAGCCAAGGTGGAGATGGGGCCTCCAGACCCACTTCCTTCCTATGAGTGCCCCAGGGCAGTTGGTGCTAATCCTAGCCACCAAGCACCATTTCATGCTCCTGAATAATTCATGACCTCGTGTGCCAATCCGTGCCAGCTTTAATTAGCTTCTAACTTTTTATCATTCATTTCGCTATGAACACCTTATAAATAAATGATGGGCCGGGGAACAGGAGTGGGGCAGAATGAGGGGGAAAGAGCCCATCTCCCGGGCCACATAAGGGATGGGGAGCCTCTAGGGCTGGGCCCAGGGAACCCCACATCTGAGGGGCCTCCTGGGGGCCAGTGTGCTGCAGCTGGTTGCCCCACCCTCTGTGGCACCCTCCCAAACCTGCTTCTTTGAGAGCTGAGTTGCTACAGCTGCGCCAGGCTCTGTGGGCCCACAAAGCCAGCACAGGCTCACACGTGTCTGTTTTATGGTGGCAGGGGCCCCAAGAGAGGGACACAGTCTGGGGACCCAACAGGAAACAGCAAATGGGGTCTTGCCAACTGAGGGATGAACGGTGTGTGTGTAGGGGGGTAGAGTTGGGGGGGGGGGGAAAACTGTCCGTGGGGGGGGGGGGGGGGGAAAGGGGGCCGGGGGGAGGGGGAGGGGGAATTGGTGACAGAGGAGACCCAGAGGAGGGGTGGCTGCAAGCATTCACAATAATGGTGGCCCCAAGCAGAGGAGGAATGTTGTGCATTTTTTTTAATCGAGTGCTTTCATGTAGATTTTTGCATTTTACCTGAATGACAGTCTAGGGTGGTGGTCAGAGGGACTGGGGGCTCCTCTGCTCATGTGCTGTTGGGGAAACTTAAGACTCAGGCAAGATGCACAAAGCCCAGCTCCACTGTGTTAGGTCAGCAGTATTTGCACCCTCTACTCTGTCCTTCTCCTCCAGGGGCAGCTGAGTGGCATGCCAAAGTCCATCCCATCCAGAGTCTCAATGGAGTAGACTCTGAAACAACAGATTTCGGCTCCTCCTTTCTTCCCCCCATCCTTCCAGTGTCTCTTATTTTGTGTCGTCCTTTCTTCTCTTTCTCCCCTTCTCCTCATCACTTCCTGTCCTCCTCCACCTTTTCCCCATGCCCACTCATTCTTCTTTGCCTTCCTCCCTCCTCTCCTCTCCCTGTCATGCTGAAAGAGTGCCAGCAAGCCTCCCGAGAGGCAAGCTAACCGCAACAGGCTGGGGATGGAGCTGTGGCAGCACATGTTTGTAGTATGAAGAAGCTCCATTTTTGATCCCTAAGAAAGGAAAATATGTCTGGATGGGATATGTCTCTTTCTCCAGGAAGCCAGCCAGAGCCACCTGGAGCAGTGCATTCTGTCTTCCCTTCCCTGGCCCAGAGTCTGGCTGGAGCTGTTGCAGATGGGAGAGATGGCCATGTGAGAAGCCTGGGCAAGGTGGCCAGGTGTGGGGCGGCCGGCATGGCCTTTTCGCCTTTGGTTTTTTTTTTTTTTTTTTTTTTTTTTCCACCTGATTTTTGAAGACAGAGAGGCCAGGTCACTTGAGGCCACATTCTTCATGATCACTAGGACACTGTCCAGGCAGGGTGCTTGTGCTGAGTTCTCCTCCCAAGCTCCGAGTCTTCTATAAACACCTTGTTCTACCTGTGATTGCATCATCTGTAGAACTTCAAGATGCTGCCCTACGCCAGGGTCAACAGCTGTCATTGTTCCCCTGGGGAGAGCCCACATGCTCACTCCAGGCCTTTTTCCTGCAATATGGATGTCTTTCCAGGCTGTACTCAATTCATGATGCTCCTGCTTCAGGCTTCTGAGGGTCTGGATTATAGATGACCACTTAGACTCAACTGTTCCTTTTCCCCACATCCCTAGCCCGGAGTTTATAGCACTTCCCACTGCCACTGAGCTCAGGGTTCCTCCTTAGCACTTTGGTTCCCAGATCTTCCACTGTAGGGCAGACGTTAGCTTTGAGTCTGTTAACTTACTCAGGACCACAGCCTGACTTTCTTGCGATAGGGCGGGCACATGATGGCTGCTTGGGAAATAAAGGTAAGTGCCAAAGAGGTCCTATGAGCAGAATCACAACATCAAACTTCTAAAAAGATGATGGTTTTCTGGAAGTCAATCGTGTTTTATTTGCATGTAAATTGGCCACAGACAGTTTGGGAAGTCACAGTTGAAAAGGAGACTGAAGGGGCTTGGCTCTGTGACAGAGCACATGCTAAGGCCCCAGGTTCAATCCGAAGTACTACAGGTAAGATGGCAACTACTCAGAAAGGTTTAGTTGTGGAGATGTGGAGTGAAGAGCTTGAGGCCACTGAGGTCCATTGTCCCATCTCACAGCATCCAGCTGATCAGACATTGAAACCTGGGTCCCCTGACACCTGACTCATCTAAAGCTGAGGACACCTAAGAGCATCACCCCAGCTTAACTGCTCAGTGGCCTGCCTGGCTGTACTCTGTCAGTGCACTGAGCCCTCATGCCCACTGTAGTTCATTGTGTGTGTGTGGGGCAGGGTCTTCTGCTCTCCTCAGAGAGGCTGCCTCTTGAAAGCCCCCTCATACTTGAGCTGGGAACATGACATCTTCTAGACACCCTTGTCATGGCCTCTGTCATCCATGAGTTGTGTGAGTGTATACATTCATGTGCTTTGTATACATACATGTTGTGTGAGTGTATACATACATGTGTTTTGTTCTCAGACACCTGAGCATCTACAGTCCCAGAGGTGTGCTTGTCCCCCCCCCCCCACCTTGAAGAGCTGGAGAAAAAGGGTTTGGATTTGCCAGCCATGCAGCATGTGGCATGAAGGGAGTCCTGAACAGAGAGGCTTGTCTGCACATTCCTTAGACTTTAATGTTAATAAAACTTTATTTACAAAATATAGTGATGGGACAGATTGGGTGGGCGGGAAAGCCATTCGATCCTTATAACACGTGGGGTTACATCATTTGAAAATTGTCGTTATCTATGTGTATGCATCCGTGTGTGGATTTGTGTATATGTATGCTGGTACCTGTGGATGTCAGAAGAGGGCACTGGATCTCATGGAGCTGGAGTTACAGGAGGCTGTGGGTCACCCAGTGGGTTCTGGGAACAGAGCTCTGGTCATCTGCAAGAGCAGCAAGCGTTTGTAACCACTCAGGCACCGCTCAGTTCTGGCAAACATTATCAGTGAAGCAGTCTCTCCCTGTGGCCCAGCAGTCTCCCTTTTCCCAGCTGCAAGTTGGATCAGATCTAGCCACTTCCCACCCCGCGCCCCCCAGATCTGCTTTGAATTGAATCATTACCCTTAGGATGCAGACTAACCCCTGGCTGGGAATACAGGCTGTGGCAGCTCACTTTCCAGCGAGCATGTGCAACCGCAGAACAACAAAACCCCAGATGAAGGCCGCCCCCCCCCCACAGCCCCCCCCCACGGTGTTCTGTCCCTCGCTGCTGTGCATACCAGCGTCTCTGACCTTCCTGTACACAGCAGCTCTTCCCCACTACAATGCATTGGCATGTGCTGTTTCTCTTGCCTAGCACTCCGCCTTCTACATTGCACGTGGAAACTGCCTCTCTCCTCCTTCCCAGGTGCCAGCGACGGCTCTTCGGCTCTTCTTCGCCACACCTCTGTGTTCCTGCAAGCACTTGCTGCTGCTTCCTGGGGCTTTCTCCTTGACTCTTTGGGAGAGTCATGGAGGTGTCACGATTCTGTCTGTTATGTTACATGTTTGGTGTGCTTCCCGGAACTCGTTTCTCTTTAGAGGCTTTCCCTGAGGCACAGGGCCATACTCAGCCTATTTCAGAAGACAGCACTTGGTAGCCAATATGAATGAGTGAGTGAGTGAGTGAGTGAGTGAGTGAGTGAGTGAATGAATGAATGCTAAAGACCTGGAACTAGATTTAGAGTTACTAAATCTGGATCTAGTTTCTAACACCAGAAGCAGTCTGGTTGCAGAGCCGAAGGGGCGCAGGTGGGCCCATAGTGGTCGCGAGGCAGGCAGATGCTGGGAGCCCAGAGGTGGCCAGCAGCACCAAGAACCAGTGGAACCTTTCAGCGACTTCGGGAGCAGAAAGGGGGCGCTTAAAGCCAACAGATGCTGCGGCCTCACCTAGGCCGTGCACCTTCCTGCTTCCCGCGAGCGTGGCAGCCCTAGGCCTCGGCTCGGAGCAGAAGGGTGGCTGTGGTTGGGTCCCTTTGCGAGATCGTGAACACGCAGGCACGGCTCGGGCACACACCCAAGGCTCGCTTCTGCGGTTTCCCTCCTGCCCCTTGGGGGACTCCACGAGCTGCCATAGCAGCCGGTGCCATGGCATCCGCAGGGGACAGCTCTGCCGGCGCAGGCACCGCTCCATCTGGGCGCCCTGCTGGGGTCAGGCCGCCGCCTGGCTTGCGACCCGGCACGAGATCCCGGGCGCGGCGTGCGGCGCGCGGGCGCGGGCGGGCGGGCGGAGCTCCGGCGCGGCGAGGGGAGGGAGGCGCGTCGGGGGGCGGGGACTGGCACGGGGCCGCGCGGGGCGGAGGAGCGAGGGAAAGTTGATCGCGGACTTCAGCGGTGGCTGCGGCTCGTAGAAGACACGATGCGCGGCCCGGGGACACGTCCCACAGCTGCCCGGCGCTGAGCTGCGCAGCCAAGAGCGGGCCCCGGGAATGGAGCACGCTGGTCCCGAGTCCCCCGCCGTGTGGGGCGAACCTCTTCTGATCTTGCTGCGCTTCTGAAGTTGCAGCCAGCAAGCAGCTAGCGGGGCTCGGACGGCCCGAGTGGATCCCGGAGCGGCCTTCGCGCCAGCAGCGAGACGCAGCGGTGGCCGAGACTGGAGCAGGTGGCCCGCAGAGGCAGAGCCGGTGGCGAGCAGATCCCGAGGCGCGGCACCCAGCCGCTCCACCCGCGCACACGGTACCAGGAGCCTCGCGCCGCCCTTCTCTCCCCATCCCCTCGCCTTCTCCCAAGCCGATCGCCCGCGGCGTGCTTTTTCGCCAAAGTTAGAGCCGTGGGGCGGCGACCTCAGCCGGCAGAGCCACTCGTTCCCGGCGCGGTCGTCGCGCGGCGGGCGCTCGTCTCTCCCCGCAGTGTCCCGCGCCCCTTTCCAGCCCGCGACTGCGGCCGGACGCGCGGCAACTTTGATTCCCGGGAACTCCAATTCCCTGCTTGTTGGCCTTGGCAAGACGCGCACCACCCGGAGCTCCGTGTCGGGACTGTGACCGTCGCGGTCTCCGCTCTTCACGCCCCCGAGGGGGTCTGGGTCTAGCTAGGGGAGGAGAAGGTGTTTGGAAGCGTCCCGTTCCCCGGAGCGCAGGGTCCCTATCGGGAGCGGGAGGCGGGTGTGGCAGCCCCACCGCAGGTGGGCAGCCGCGCTGGAGAACCTGGAGTCGCCTAGTTCTCTCTCCCCACTCCCGCCACCTCTCCAGGCCCACGGGCGACCCCAGGGGATTCCTGCCACCGTGCCAGTAGTGGCAGTTCTGGGCAAAAGCGTCCCTAGCAGCTTTGGGAGCCGCGTGTCACTTGCGCTTCTCTTCCGCGGCCCGGGCCCGGGGCTGGCCGGCCTTGGTTGTTGTCTGCTCGTCCTCAGAACTGACCCTGGGAGCACTACCCTCTTTGTCTCCTCAGGTCAGGCCGGGTTGCGTGCAGATCCCGCGCTTTTTAGGGTGGTGGCCGGCCATCTGCCTGGCATTCATTCCTTCTTGCCCGGAGCGAGCACGGAGAGTCACTGCCTTCGAGAGGCTAACGGAGATCCAGTGCCCTTGGCCACTGTAACCCCAGCCCCAGCCCTGGTGTGGTCACACCTTGGTAGAAATTAGCCTTGCAGGAGTAGTAACACGCCCACACAATCCGGAAAGCGGACACACCCATTCTGCACACTTGGCCATCTCATCCAGAACAGACCTTGACCCTTACCCCTCATCCATCCCTTCGCAAGTGCCTGCCTCCCCAATTGGGATTTTCAAATAACCTGGAGGGGCACGAAGATTATTTGCGGGCCTGCACGAGCCAAATTCTTGCCCTGAGAAGAATCACGCTGTGAGTGGGGGTGGGCTTGCGGAGCATGGCTGGGGCCAGGTGCGAGGTGGTGATGAGTCAGCCCACTGTGACAGAAGCTGCTGGAAGGAACGAACGCTTGGCTCCTGGTGCAGGGGTAGGCGCAATGCGGCCAGCACCTATGGGGGTGGTAGGACCAGATGTCACTCTGCCAAGGAGGGGCGGAAAAGGGGCACCTTGGCCATAGGAATAGCAGAGGACTACCTGGCAGAGAGAGCACGCCGTGTCTGCAGAGGCACTTACCAAGTCACTGGTGTGAACAGGGCTTTTGCCCAGGTACTGGAGGCAAGCTTTGAGGGTGGTAGTCTGGCCTTGGCTGTGCCCCAATAGCCACACCTGTCTCTGCTTCCCCAGCTCCGTCAGTCCCCCCCCCCCCAGCTGCTCAATAAATGGCTGTGTGGAGGTTATGGCCACAGACAATTGGGGGTTATCGCCCGGTTGACTCTCCTTCCTCACAAACCACCTCACCTGTTATTCCACCAAGTGTGCTTCATTTCTTCCAATTCGGTATTATAAGGGCGACTTTGCCAAAGTGTGGGTTCAAAATGCTTCACCTAGAAGGTGAAGGCCTTAGGCCCTTGCTGCCCAAGGGTGACCTGTGGAGCAGCATCTGCGTCATGGAGGAACCTGTTAAAAGTATAGATCCCCTATACATCAGCTCAACCTCCACCAGATCAGGCCTTGGATTTTCTAAGACCCTCGAGTGCTTGGTAGGCTGTTAAGTCTGTGTTGTGGTGCCCAGAACCTTCTAGGGCATAGGAATCAAATATGGCTGAAGCTCTGCCCTGGAAACCTTCGTCGGGGTTGGGCAGCCCCTGGGGCTGTTACCTATGGATGCGACAGAAGTGTCTGTGTCTGGAGGGCTTTGGGCGGATATAGAGGGCAGTCTGGATCTCTGTGCAGCAGAATATATCGCTCTGTTTGCTGCGGCCAGGTGGAGGTGGGCAGATTTCTGAAACTGGATGTGCAGCCTCCACCTCTAAGATTTCTGGGGATGGATGGACGCTGTTCTCACAACTGTCTCCAGTCTCAGCCGGCCGATTGGTATCACTTCTTAGGGAGTGGCCACAGAGAAGGGGCTGCTTCAAGAGCCCATTGTGGGGGATTCAGACCTGGTGTTGTTTTCACTGCCTTTGACATCTCACCTCTACTGCCCTGGGAAGGTCTCCAGCACCAAGATGCCAGGCTGGTGGTGGGCATATGCTTCCCAGATCTTGCCCTGAAAACTGGCTGAAACTGGGGTCAAAAACCTGGTAGGGCCAATGGAGTCATAGGTGACAGCACCCCAGCCCTGTCTTTGCTATGCTAGTCTCTGCCAGGAGGAGTGCAGCTCTGCCATTGTTTATATGTTTTATAGGTGCCTGGGAGGTCACCAACCGGCACAGACATAGGCCTTACAGGAGCAGGACAATTAAAGTGCTGGTGACTCCCCATCTATCCCCAAACCAGCTGATTCCAGGGCATAATGGTCTTACGGTATTCTTGGGCTCTCAGGTTGAAGAGAGTTGATGTTCTCGAGTGTAAAGGTGGTTTTAAAAAAATGAACGCAATTGCCTTTGAACTGGTTTGTTTCTTATTCAGTTATAAATGTTTTTAAGTATCCACCCTACTCCCATGGCCCAGAACTAAAATCTGGGCTCTGGTGGTACTGGGTCAATCCTATTTGTCCATTAGTAGTAGGTGAACAAGGTCAAGGTGGACCACACAGGATGGAACAATCCAGGACTGGTGCATTTGGCCTCTGGTGGAAGAGGCCATGCTTCTGCAGGTCCTTGGGGTGATTCTGACATGGCAGTTGCCTCCTCCTCCAGAAGCCTTCCTGATGTAGGGTAGAGCTGTGAGTGGGAGGTAGGCTGCCTCTTCCAGCCATCTCGCTCTCTCTCTTTTCCCCTTCCCTCCACCTCCTCTCTCTTCTCTCCCTCCTCTCCCTCTCCTCTTTCTTTCCTCCTCTCTTGCTGTCTTTCCTCGGTGCTTTCCACTGGCCTGCGTTTCTCTGGCCTCTGGCTATGTGATTTCCTTGTGAGAACACAGGTCCTGTGTCCTCTGCCCCCACCCAGGGCTGCTGCTCAGGTTGTGAATGGCCAGCAGTGTGCTGTGCACTAGCTAAATTGATTGTCCTTCAGCCTTCTCTCGTCTTAGTGTTTGCTGGGTCTATAACTGGATCTGACTGTTCATGTTAGCTTTTTTGGGATGGGTGGCTAAGGGTACCCCATCTGCTGGACCTGGATGCTGCCCTTTAAGCTGAGATCACCAGCTCCCACACTTCACGGTCCAGGATGCAGATAACAGTAGTGTGGGGAACTGGCCATGGTGTTACAAATGCCTGTAATCCCAGTTCTTAGGAGGCTGAGGTAGGAAATTTGCAAGTTTAAGGCCAGAGTGGGCTGCATACATAGAAAGTTTCTGTTTCATATAAAATAAACAAACAAACAGAATGAGGAGGCTGGTATGCTTTGAGGACAAAGGTACTTGCTACCAAACCTGTTGTAACCCACAAGGTGGAAGGAGAGAACCACACATAAAAGTGGTTGCATGTTCGCACAAGTGTGAATACACACAGACACACTAAATACATGTAAAAACATTTAAAAATACACTTAAAAAAAAACAAGTAAAGCAAAGACAAAGATGAGACAATAGGAGTGGTGAGGTTGGAAGAGCACAGGGACCTTTCAAGAAGAACAGCTAGTTGAAGAGATAGCTCAGTTGGCAGAGTGCTTGCCTAGCAGGCCCGAGACCCTGGGTTTGATCCCCAGCACCATATAAGGATGGTGGTGCACAGCCCTCAGGAGAAGGCCAGAAGATCAGGTGTTCAAGGTCATCCTCAAATATGTAGGAGTTCGAGGTCAGCTGGCCTTCAGGATACTCTGCCTCAAAAGAAAAAGAGAAAGGCCTCCGAAGGCAAGAGGCAGCTTTGTAAGAGCGCCAGAATAATGCTTCTCCTGGGGCACAGTGACTGGGACACAGAAGGTGCACCTAAGGGGCTGGAACTTTCTAGAACCTGATCTGAAAATCTGCAGCAGTGGTGAACTATACATATGCACATACATGCATACATACACACACACACACACACACACACACACACACACACACGTTTGTTGTTGCAAAAAAGCCAATTCAGAAAATATGAGAATGTTTATGGACCATCTTCATTTGAATTTGCTATGGGAGTAGCTTTGTGGAGTCCCACAGGGCAGAAAATGCCTCCCTCCAACCTCCACCCCCAGCGTCAGACTGGCATATTTAAGAAGTAGCCACAAGGAGCCGGCTTCTAGGCTTTCACTGTGGAATCTGATCCGGCTCAGCTATGTGGCAGGCATTGCTGCTTCTCATGTGGTCCCTATGGATGGGCCTCAGGTCTTTGCTCCTGGGCTCTGTCAGTGGCTCAGTTGGTAACCTGTGGCCTTGGGTTGTGCTGTGCAGCTCAAGACTGGCATTCGTATTTTTGTGTATTCTGAGCCCTGCTTAAGTGTGGGCTGGGGCGGTGATGAGAATGCACAGATCTCATGAGTTTTAGGGACGAAGCTGCAACAGCGCTGTGCTCCTGGGTTCTGAAGGCCTGGTATGGTATTCAACCTTGCCCAGACGTGGCTTTCTCATGTGCACAGTGGGAATAATTTCCAGCTGCCTGTAGACTCGCTGTGAGCATCAATGAGGCACAAATTATGAGAAGGCTAGCTTCTGATGCACATGGAAAAACTAGTTTATTTTGACCCCCTTTGTTGTGACTTGACTGGATGAGACTAACATAGAGATGAAATGGACCTTGATTCTCATAGCTTGGTGACCTAAGGAGCTCACGAATTGAGTACCTGATGATGTACTTGTGTGCATGTACATGTTTCCGTGTGTGTGTT